AAAAAAAAAAAAAAAAAAATAAAAAAAAAACTGAGGAAAAAAATTACCATGTCAAAGTTGCTAGATATGATGTCACAAAGATACTTACAAAACCAAATTCCCGATCAAGCCAAATCATACACACACAGACAAAGAGAGAGAGAGAGAGAGAGAGAGAGAGAGAGAGAGAGAGAGAGAGAGAGAGAGGTTGCCAACAAATATGAGATTTTTGAGTGTTGCACACCTGCTTCAACGCAACAGCCAAGCCAGTGATTGTGTGATTGTGGGGTCCACCTTGAAGACCAGGAAACACAGCTTGATTAATCTTATCCTCATAGTCATACAACACCTTCCAAATAAACACGTGTTAAAATACACAAAAAATGGTCAGAGAGAGAGAGAGTTAAAAAACCCAACCTCTTTTCCCTGCTTGTTGATCTCCTTCACGCCCTTCCTGAAAAATATCATGGCCCCGCGGGGCCCACGAAGCGACTTGTGGGTGGTGGTCGTCACCACGTCCGCATAGTCGAAGGGAGATGGGATGACGCCGGCCGCAACCAATCCACTGATATGCGCCATGTCAGCCAATAGTATTGCTTTCTGCTTGTCACAGACCTGCAATAGACACGGGAAAGGCACAATCTTCATCGTAAATTCCTTGATTGAAATTGCATATAAATGAGAAAGCACATGCGGGCACAAGTTGATTTTACCTTACGAATGCGTTCATAATCGTAAAGGCGAGCATAAGCACTAGCACCGGCAACGATTAATTTTGGCCTGAAGAGTACAGCACTCTTTTCTAGCTGCATAAAAAGTCAAATTAGCATTGTCAAATATTATTACCTTTTTTTCCATTTACCAAGTCCGACAAGTTCAAACTAGTCATAGTAAACAACGATTGTAGGCTCTTCATTAGATATGCTATGGAGTTCTTCAACAAGAGAAGATATAAAATCAAAATTATTTAACCACAATATGGAAATAAATAAAAGATGTCAGAAGAAATTAAAAAAGATTATCAATAGCAGATACGAGAAAGGTACCTGATCATAATCGATGTACCCGGTACTTTCATTCAACCTGTATGGCATTGTCTCGAAGAAAATTGACACTGCAGATATCTTCTTTGTGTCAGTCTGTAAAAATTAACAAAGATACAAACAAAATCTCAGAAGGCAACAACCGGAAGAAACTGATGTTAACTAAAAGTAAGTCTTAAAGATAGTTCATAAACTAGTTTCATAAGAAGTTCAGTATCTAACCAATGATTAGGTAAGCAAGAAATACTGTTAAGGTTTGTGAAAATGAGGATATTGATAATTAGTTAGGTCACATAGTGAAATCTGAGAGGGTACCTGATACCCATGAGAAAGGTGGCCTCCGTGAGGAAGATCGAGGGACATTATTCTCTCATGTGGTTTGAGCAAAGCAGTGTAAACCTGAAAGTTTGCAGGGGATCCTGACAGGGACTGCACATTCACTGCATTAGCAAAAATTGTAAACTATGAGACTCAAGCATTAACAGTCACTCATTACTAATCCTCTTGAGTACAGATTTTCATGGCCTTTCCTTGAAGAATTCTTTATAGTATGGGACATCCTACCAGATTCAAATTCATTTTAGATGTTATTCTTTTACAATATCCAACTGTGATAGGGAGTTCAGGCAGAAGCCAAGATCTAGTAAAGAACGTATCCTTAAGACTAATAATTACGTTCATAACAGGACAAACAAAATAGCACCCTTTTGAAACACAAAGATCTCAAAATTTTGTTTCCATATTTGAAGTCCATCTCTCAGCTGGACAATACACATTCAAGCAGATAAATACCTCAATGGGATTTCTGTGATTCTCGTTGACAATTATGCTAAATCTTCAGGTTTTGTTTTCCTTTTTCTTGATATTTTTCACAGATCTATATGCATACGTTAGTAAAAGTACCTCCCCATTTTTCAGGATCCAACCGGAATGCCTCTAGAGCACGCTTTTGGCATAATGTTTCAGCCATATCAATGTATCTGCAATTGAATGCCACGTGATGAGAAGCACACAGGTGGAGTATAAAATCCAAAAAAATACACGAACATTAATTAAGAACTGGAAAAACTATACATGAGGACTAACCACACTAACCATACAAGAAAAAAATGGACGACTATTTGAAGTTAAACTACTTACTCGTTTCCACCATAATATCTAGCACCAGGGTAGCCTTCACTGTACTTGTTAGTCATAACGGAGCCAACGGCTTGCATCACAGAAAGAGAAGTGAAATTCTCTGAAGGAATAAGTTCAAGTCCCTAAAACATACACAATACAGTCAGACACTATGTTTGAGAAATATTACAATCGTAGGAATGGTCTTTGCACGGCTATGAGCGATAAAAACTCTCAAAAATTATGGCCAGGAAATTAAAACTGAATTTTGTTGCTCATTCAGTTTTTATATGAATAAATGACAACTATCTAATATCTATCTGATAAGCAACAAGAGAAAGCCTAAAGGATCAAAAGCAAAGCCGCGTGCTCTGAATTTTGTTGCATCTAGTATTCTGTAAATACATTACAAACAATATGCAGGCCAGGATTATATTCATAAAGGAAGTACATCTGAAGGAGTATTAATTAACAAATTATCAAAAACGAATACAGAACGGGTTGGAAAAGAAAATTTCAAGCTGACATAAAAGACGGTTGAAAACTTCACCTTCCATTGTCTGGCCTTTTCGAGCTCGATAATATCAGCAATCTCAGGATCAACCACTTCCAGAGGAGAATTTAGTTGCTTTTGCCACTGAAAATTCACACACAAACAATAGAATGTTTTATGAGCCTGATAAACACATTCCAACAATCTACCAGAAAAAAAATAAAAAATAAGTAGCCAAGTATTGTTCACTTAGCACACGCAACAAATCAAACAACAAATCAAACAGTTAACATGCATACCGTGACATTAGATCTTTTTTTCTCGTACTCTGCTTGATCAGGCAAAGACGACTGCAAATTACAAAATTTAACTCGTACAAATCGACCTCGCCAAAAAAAATAACTATAATTCTCCAGAATTAAAAAAAAAAATAGTAATGGACCATGAAATAAATAGGGCCGCCATTATTCAGACGCTTGATGGGCTTGTCAACAGATGAGTAAAGCCTCCGGGCAGCCATCGCCGATGCCATCTTCCGCAGAGAGAGAAACGGTGAACGAATTTCTTTGAGTTGGCTGAAAGTGTTTTGAGTGTGGCGATCGATAGCTATAGAAAAGTGATGGATTTTCACATCGAGATCCCAACCCTTCAATTTTTTATTAGTTTTTTTTTTTTCCGGAAATGGTTACATTCGTGTCACTATTTCCTTTTTGGGTGGGGCATCAATTTGCAATGCTTAAATTTAGTGTTGTTTTCGGGTTTGGTGGCTGGTCTTGGGTTGGGTTGCGTCTTTTTCTCTCCGCTGTATAGATGGTTCAAAATAAGTTATTTTGATTAATTATAATTAATTTTGTAAAATATGGTCTAATCAGTTGTTAGTGGAATTTTAAAATTATGTGAGTAGATGAATAGTGAATTAAAGTTGAGGTGATGTGTAAGAATGATTGGTTTGTATTATTTAATTATATGAATAATATTAAAGATAGTGGATTGAGTTAAAGTTGTGTTAGATTTTGAGTTGAAATAAAAGTGAGTAAAATAATTTATGAACAATCGAGCCCTCACTATCGTACTAACATTGGAAAGTTATGAATTTTATTTGAGGATTTTGCACCTCTACTTCAAGCTTTTAACAATATTATAATTATACAACTAATATAATAATATTTATGATTATGTGGAAATTAACTTAAAATATTGCCATTATACTTAAAAGAAGGGAAAAGTTAAGTGAGATAATTAAGGAGAAATTTTACCGATTTTCAGCAATAATATCTCATTCAAAAAACTTACCCACAGCCCCACGTTCACCAAAAAAATCATCATCTCTGTGTTTTTCTCTTACTGCTAAAAAAAACCCTCATCAATGGCAAAGACAAAGGACCCACTCTCTACTCGGAAAAAACCGTCAAATGTCGGTGATGACACACCACAGATAAAGTCAAGTTCCCTTCTTCGTAAGATCCTTTCAAAGGCAAAACCCAAACTCATACAGAAGAAACTCGATTTTCAGTGAAACCCTAACCCGAAGCTCGCCGGCAAAGTTAGAGTGCGAAAACACATTTCATCACCCGATTCAGATGATTTCCAGTCCAAGCCCAGCCATAAATTAAAAAACCCGTTCGCCACGTCCGTCAATTCAAAATGCCCAAATCCACTGAAGAGGACAAATCGACGGACCCCGACTTCGAAGATGAAATTCAATTCGAAGACGCCGATAGTGAAGAATATTTGAGTGAAGAAGAATCTCCGGTGGAAATGTTAAAGAAAACAATTAAAAAAAGGCAAAAAAAAAAAAAGAAAAGAAAAAGACGAAGTTCAGTTGAACAAGAAAAGGAAAAAACCAAACACCAACGTCCCCAGTGCCCCACAACATGTCCCGAAACAGATAGTGTATAAGGTAATTTTTTTTAAAACATATTAATTTTCGTTGACTTGTTTAATCCAAAGTATAGTCTTTTGCACCTTGTACTTCAAGCTTCTAACTATAGTCTTTAGATTCTGAATTTTATCCGTGTACAGTTAATGCTTGTTTGTCAACAAATAATTCGTCATGGTCCTCACAATATGTTGGACTTTTGTGTTACATCTACAACAATATAGTGGGACCATAGTTGAATAAAGTTATAACTGTTTTTCCTACCAGGTGTTATATAAATGTTATGATATGTATATATTTGGTGAATGTGATGACTGTAGTTTGAACTATTTCAGTTTCATGACATTATCACTTTATAATATGTTTCTTTAATTTCAAGTATATGCTAAGTATATTTGTGGTTAAGTTCATCCATATAATTCTGCAAACGATATGCACCGGGTTAAATTCACATTATCGGGGTTATGGAAGTGTTTATTATATGTTAATTATCTGTTGAGTATGTTTAGGGTTATTTTCACTCACATGAATCTGTTATATATTTGCCCCGGGTTATTTCGACTTTATCAGATATATGTAAATTGTATGTTATATGTCAAGTATATGCCAAGTATATACATTGTTAATTTCACCCACAGGAAACTGTATACAATTTAATGCTCTGGGTTATTTCAACTTTATCATCTATATGTAAATTTATGTTATATGTCAAGTATATGCCAAGTATGTATATGGTTAGTTTCACCCACAGAAAACTGTACACAATTTAATACCCCGTGTTCGATCAATTTTCAGTTAATTAATATACATTCTGATGTATATGAATATCTTTATTTTTTCTGTTAATTATTTTGAGGAATAGGAATTGCTGATCCCGCATCCAAGGGATATAAACGTGAAGGTCCAAAACAGTAACGATAATAGCAAATATCGGTCCACAATAACCGAAATAAAGAAAACGCTTACCAAGGAGCAGTTAGAAATTTTTAAGAGGTCAGCTTTTGGGAAGTTCTTGGATCTCCCACATTGCATTGTACATAACCAGCTTATAAACTATATACTTCTACGTGAGGTTCACCAGAGCAGGACTGATGAGAATTGGTTTAATTTTGGAGGGAAATTTCTCCGATTTGGTATTGAGGAGTTTGCTGTCGTGACTGGTTTGAAATGCACCGGACACAACAAGAAACTGAATATTCCAAGAATTGATGGTGGTCTGCACGACAAGTATTTTCAGGGGGTTGAATTAGGCCGCAATCACACCAGGTGACAGTTTTTAAAGAAATCATGGGCAAGTGACGAAGACACCGTGAAATTTCCTAAGTACACTTGTTAGCAAATTTCCTCATGGGATCTCAAGACTCTTTCCGCATCGACCGATGTTACACCGACATGGTGGACAACCCGGACTGCGATGATTACTCTTGGGGTACTGATGTCTTTGAGTTTACCCTTCATTACCTGAAGAAATCAATTCACACGAGGGAGCAGATGCACATATTCCAGAAGGCCGAGAGAGGTGGCTACCTTTATCGTTGTTATGGCCTTATATTGGCCCTTCAGACTTGGTTTTATGAGGTCTGCGATACTACTGAGGGTGTAGTTTCCACATACGTTGGTGTACATGATATCCCGAGGATTATAAAATGGGAAGTTCGGGATACTTACACTCGTATTTTTATGGAGATGACTTTTTCAAACCTTCACCATTCGAAGGTAAATTTCTATGTTTTTTTTATATATTTATATATCGGTCTCGATAACACATTCTTTTTCCTTTTTTTTTGTTTTATTGTTTGCACAGTTCAATAACATAGTTCCAACCGAGGTCGAGAAACAGACTCTTTTACTTGACTCATTCTTCCAAAAAAAAAAAAATGAGTTCACTCCAAATGACATTCCATCAAGTGGCACACCACAACATCCCAATGAGTCGGATGTTATAACCCGTCTCAGCACAATTACCTCTGAACTCGAGAGCTTGAAGCAAGCCTTCTTCGACTTCTCGAGACGTGTTTTTGCGGAGTTTGATTTTTTCAAGGAAAAATTGCTTGTAAGCCCTTTGTTCACATTTTTTTTTTTTTGATATTTCTAGTATATTTGTCCTGCATATATACTAAAAATCTGGTTGGATATACCACATATGCCTGAGCTTCTGATTGACATAATATTCTGGTAGATATCACCAGATATTCTTTTGTTCTTGTTTTCGTTAACTACCCTATTTATTTTTAGTATATTTGTCCTGCATATATACTATATATTTTGATATATAAACCGCATTTTGTTTTATTTTATAATTGGCATAATCATATGATTTATATCACCTGAAGAGATGTACTTTTTTGGTTCAAAATTTTTTGCACTACTTTTTATTTTTATTTTATTTTATTTTTTCTTGTGGTTATCTACATTTTTTCCTCAGTATATGTTCGTTATATATATCCTACTTTATTTACTTTAGGCTGGTTCAAGTCAAGCAGCCCATCGACAAAGAAAAATCCAGCGAAGTTCGTGGTCGAAGTGAAATGCGCGATGAGGATATTCAAAGGTCATCTGAGAAAGAGATGGTTTGTAGAATTAATTATAATATTTATTACAAATATATAGCAAACCGGTAAACTATAACATATTTATAACATTATTGATTAACACCTTTTTTTTAATATGTGGTTGTTTTAATGCTGGTAGACTTTCAAGAAGCCATCTGATCTCATTGTTGGGACAACAAACGAGGTTTCATTATTTAATTTTTTTTCCATATAAGACTTGAATTTATTTATATAATTTTAGAAATATCATACCATTCCTTATTTTATAGGTGGGCGTCAAATCTCCTGGAAGGATCTTAAGAATCGAATCAGAAGCACTCCAAAAGAGTGCAAAAGACAACGTAAGCATCTCTTATTTCAATATAAGAGCCATTTCTTGTGGTTATCAATATTTTTTCCTCAGTATATGTCCGTTATATGTACTACTTTAATTACTTTAAGTTGGTTCAAGTAAAGAGAAGCCCATCGACAAAGAAAAAGCGAGCAATGTTCGTGGTGGAAGTGAAATGCGTGATGAGGATATTCAAAGATCATCCGAGAAAGAGATAGTTTGTAGAATTACTTATATTATTTATTAGAAATATACAGCTAACAAATATATAACTTTATTTAATTTTTTTTCCATATAAGACTTGAATTTATTTGTGTGATAAATGAGTTTTATTTAATATATATATATATATATATATGTATATATATATATATATATATATATATGCATATTATATAATTTTTGGCAATATCATACCATTTCTTATTTTATAGGTTGGTGTCAAATCTCCTGGAAGGGTCTTAAGAACCAAATCAGAGGCACTCCAAAAGAGTGCAACAGATAAAGTAAGCATCATTTCAAAATAAGAACCATTTATTGTTTCAATTTTGTTGAGCCTACTATTATTATTATTACTTTTCTTTTTTATCATAGTTTGTACCAGTTCAAGAACTGCCAAAGACCGCTAGCCATGATACGACCAGTGTTTTCGAAGACAATGACCCATTCGCCATGATCAACACCCAATTCTTAGAGGAGATCAATAGGTGTGCACAACAAAAGATAAATGAATCATTAAAGGCAAAAGTCCCGGTAACGACATATACATCTTATGCCATTACCTAGTCATCAAGTATATGTTAGATATATATACATGTAGTAGTACACCATTGTGATTTATGTAGCACTTAATTATTATTTTTTTGTTATATGCTAATAAGTGATAATATATGCAGAGACGTGTGCTCCATGACCCGCACCCAAAGTTTGATTATTCATTGAATGGCTCTCAGTTATCTTTTGATGCTATAACCGCTAATCTACCATTGACACCACCACCAACTATTTCTATTACAGCCCAACACAATAATATAATATTTCATCACTTGTGTTTTATTGTTGTTATATCTTGAATCATTCTTTAGAGCAATATTAATTATATGTTTTTCTTGTTTATTGTCACATTATTCAGCCTGGGCATATCGAGATAAATGTAGTTGGAGCGGGAGTCAATCTAGGACCTGTCGGGAAGCATGGAGTTGGAGACAGAGTGATTCCAGAAAATGTGGATAAGAATGCATCTGAGAAGGTTGTGAATCCAGGACATGTGGAGAAGAATGTACCTGGAAAGGTATTGAATCTAGTGATAGCCAACAAGCAATAGAGCAATGCTATGGTGGTCTATCATCCAAAGCCAGATGTAGTGAAGAAAACCGCAAAGTCAAAGAAAAAATTGAAGACAGATGTTTCTACCAAGAAACTAATACGTCTTCAGAACTCTTGCCCATTCGCTGTTGATTTTGACATAACTGTTTCTGGAAAAGTGTACACAAAAAACTACAATGATTGGATTGCTGAGGGCTTGCTCAAATGTTCTCCTCGTAAAGTCGCTAACGGGTATGTGAAACAGTAGCAAATACCTTCTTTTATATATCGTGGAGTGTAAAATGCCAAATATTTACCAACATATAATCCATACATACATTGGTTTACACTATTAATATTGTTTATATAGAGTACACATGCTAATGACTTTTTAATATTATGTCAGGTACAATTATTATAAGGTCAAGGACAGGACGTTGCCAGCACCGTTTGATTTCAATATCGTGTCCGTGACGGACAAAAATTGGCTTTACCACATTCATGAAATAGGTTGCTTCCTTGACAGAAGTGTAAGTACAATCTTGTACGACAGTTCTGTTATATTTACATTTTGTTTTATCTTGTTTGACTTGTAACTAAGTTGTTATATAATGCTAGTGTGAGCGTCCTGGCCCGGTGTGGGGTAGATCGGTTCTTGTCCTCGTCGGTAGAATGCCAGAAACCTGCAAACAACTCTCACACCAGGGGTTGTGTCCGGTGAAGAGCCTCCGATGCTTAAGTCAGTATGTGAATGAGTATACTGGAGTTGAATAATAGAAAATCGTGTTAAGGGAGAAAGGCTCACCCCCTTTATATAGGGGTGAGATACCTGCCCTAATAGCTGCCCGGATAAGGATGAGTTGGCTGCCCAAGCTGCCCGTCCGTACTCTGACACGCCGCGCACATGTCAGAGGTGGCGCGGGGCGTTGGGAGCTGTCAGAGGTGGTTATCGCTATCACCCAATACTTTCTCGACACGTGTCCTCCTGCACATGGAGTAAATTTTCTCCTGGAATTCGGTGGGAGGCTCTTACACGCGCCTGTGACTAGGCTGATCTATCGAGTGTTGAGTCCGCGAGATGCTCGACCTGCTGAGGTCGATAAGGTCGCTCGATCATTTGTTTGGTCGAGCGATGGGTTGGTCGACCACTTGACTAGTCGACAAGTTATTTTGCTCGATCCTCTCATTGCCTATCTCGATTCTTTCATAATATGACTCCCCAAACTGGTTCAGCATACTGGTTTATCTTGAAGTATATAATATCCTATATCATCTAGTCCCCCCCAGTCTGGTCGAGTCTAAATGACTCGACCTAAGAGTGAATTTGTACTTCCTCAACCTCCTGGGTGGCGTGGTGCCAAATATCGACCCTCTTATGGGTTTCTCGCTTAATTTTTGAATAATTCCTCATTAATTGCCAGAAATAAAGTCTTCTGCCACACGCCCTTTCCGTCGTATCTGCTTTTTCGCCACGTGTCCCGCTTGTCAGGTACTTGCCTGGTGTTTTAATGATAACGCCTCCTCGCATAACGCGCCCACTTTGAGTGCTGTGCCAATTAATGTTGCCCACCATATGATCTAACTTTAATCCAATGGTCCCCGTTTTTTTTTTCAACCTTTCTCCAAGGTATAAATCCCACACTTAGTAAATTTTCAGACTTTTTCCACCCTTGCAATTTCGAACTCTCATGTGCCTAAAATTCTTTCTGCAAGAAACTCTATTTTCCTCGGCGATTTCCCTGCAATCTTTGAGTCTTCTCGATTCTCTCCTCTATGATTATGAGTAAGTTGTTCTTCGTCTGATTTACGCTTCCTATACTTGAAATTTTGTGTTTTGAAAAAAAAAATTCTTTCTTTTTTCCGAATTGGGTATATGAAGTTTTGCTGATTGCGTGTTTTGAATCTGTGTGTTGAATTTTCGTGCTCGCCTGTTAATCGCTGTAGATTTCGTCCTCTCCCCTTGAAATTCTCTCGGAATCCCTGTTCCCTTTCTTCAAAATTGCATTTTTCATGGAACCCTAATTTTGAAAGCCTTGTCCTCCTTCCTCTTCCCTTTTTTTGCCAAAATTCCTTTTTTTGATATTGTTCCTCTCTTTTTTGTTTTCAGATCCTGCTACCTCGACTACTTCCTCTGATTCAGTTGAGATATTGCCTTCTGCCCTTGAAGTTGTTCCTCTCTCTATCCTCTGCCCCGGCGATACTGTTCCTACACGCATTTTTACAGCTCATGTTGCTTCTTCCAACTCCGGGGATACCATGGATATTATCCCCCTCCGCCGCCGTCGACCTGCTCTCGGCGCGTTAGACGAGCTAGCGGAGGACGAGGTCCTTTCTGCCCAACCCACTGCTCCTGCATCCTCGACCATTCCGCCTTCTTCCACCTCACCTGGAACCTCTAACTTTCCTTCGAGAAAATCCTCAACCAAAAATCCCTCACGGGCTTCCACAAAGCGCTCTTCTTCCACCTCTCTTTCTAACCCTTGGTATAGGCCCGAAAAGATCGGTCATCCTACCGGTTGGGCGTTCTATAGCCCTTTCTCTTCTGATACCTTTGACCATCCTCCTGAAGGTTGCTACACTTTCTTCGAAATCCAATTCAAACTTGGTCTTTGTTTTCCTCTAAGTTCTGAGCTACTTCAGATCTGCGAGTGGTTCGGGCTTCCCCTACATCAACTTCCTCCTAACGCCATCCGCTTCATGACCACCTTCATCATTCTTTGCCACATTCGCCTTGGTCGATTCGATCTTGCCTTCTTCCACTACTGCTACGCCCCTTCTAAGCAAGGTCGAGGCCTTTACTTAAAGAGCCGTAACGGTGCCCATCTTATCAATGAAGTTCCTTCTAAACTTCCCAAGTGGATTGATCAATTTATTTTTGTCCGACCTGCTGAACCTTTCCCTTGGCCTTCCATCCCCTGGGTCAAGGAGATTCCTCAGGAAGTTTCTGCCCCTCCTTCAAATCCCCTTTTCGAGCAACGGATCCACACTTGGAATTCCAAGTCCGTTGCGTCGGAAGAACTTCTCAAGGACGAGAGCCTGCTCCATCACTGTGGTCTGCTCTCCCATAAAACTTGTCCTCCTCCAACCGATGAAATACTTGTTCTTGTTCGGATTGAAGATGATCCAGGTAATTCTCGGGCAGATTAGTCGAGTGCTTGTGTGTTTCTCTGTTTTTGTTCTGAGTAACTTTTGTTGATTATCGAATATAATCTGTGTTGTGATTTTCTTGCAGAGGTGCCCAGTTTCAACATCCCTCCGAGGAAAACTCCTCTAAAAAAGAAAACGGGGGCTGTTTCTGGATCGGCCGGGGGCCAGGCCGAGGGGTCGACCACTTCTTCTGGGTCTCGACCGGAGCCGCAGCCAGGGTCACCTCCGCGAGAGACCCCTTTGTCACCGCCGCCGCCACCAGGGCCACTGCAAACACAACAACCACAACAACAACCACGACAACAACAGCAACAACAATAGCAACAACAACAACAACAGTCTCATCGACAACCGCGACAACAACAACAGCCCCAACAACAACCGCCACCTCCCTTGAAAGAGCAGCAGCCTCGACAAACTCCGCCACCTCCGACAGAGAAGACCGCCCAGCACCAATCGACCTCTGTTTCTACTGCCCAAAAGTCCTCGACCGCTACCAAAACCAACAGTCAGTCTTCTTCGCACAAAACCGACTCCTGCACCAATACCTCCAAATATGTTGTTTCTTCCAAAACCAAAGAAAAAACCTCTAAGCTGTCTTCTAAAACCAAGGACAAAGCCCCTGAACTGTCCTCCAAAATCAAAGTCCAAGAAAAACCTCCACACGACCGACAATCCTCCGAAACCCCCTCCGCTGGCTCGACCAAGGCACTGGTCAAATCCAGCGGTCGAGATGACGCGGGACATGAGGTTTCCCTGGGGAAACGTTCTTGTACTGACCAAGGTGAGGTGGTCTGGAAATGGGGGCGTACCAGCCATCAGTGGCCTGATCCACTGGCCCCGAAATCGACATCTCTTTTGTCGGCCTCCGTGAATGAGGTGGCCGAGCGTCTCGAGGGTGCCCTCCTCAAGGGAGATCGCAAGAAGGGCAGCGTCACCTTGCCTGAAGTTGGTGATAAGCTCGTGCAGTGGCTTGCCCAGGTATTACTAATTCATTTCTATGTCGATTCCTTCATGCTTTTGTTTTTTCGATATATGGATTGAACTGACTAATTTTTGCTCGATTATAGGGCTTGGTTGATTTCTTGCCTCTATCCAAGGAGGCCCGAGACAGCTCGGGTAAGTCGATAAAGGGCCTCGAGGGCACCATTGGCTACCTGCAAGATAAAAACTCTACCCTTGTGCAGCACAACGCTAAACTCCGCGAGACACAGACAGAACAAAAGGTCGAGTTCGAAGTCAAGGTTAAGTCCCTTGATGAAGAGCTCACAAAGAAGAATGAGTCGCGGAGAGAGAAGCCGCCCTCACGGCAAAGGATATTGCGGTGGCCGAAAAAGAAACCGCGCTGAAGGAGAAGGAGACTGCGCTCGAGCAAGAGCAGATTGCTCGAACCCAAGCAGAGGCTGCTCGAGCGCAGTCGGAGGCTGCTCGAGTGCAGTCAGATGCTGCTCGAGCACAGGCGGAGACTGCTCGAGCGCAGGTGGAGGCTGCCCAGGTGCAGGCAGAGGCTGCTCGAGCTGAGCTGGAGGCTACCTTAGCCAAAGAAAGGGCTGCCCACGCCAGCCAATGCAAACGCTACGCTGATGCTGCAGCTCTTCGAGTTCGGCAAATGATGTGGGGCACAACAACTGGGAAGCTTTTCCTCTGCGAGTTCTGTGAACAAGTGGTGGCCAATTATATGCGGTCACCCCAATTTTTGAAGGAGGTGCAAGACTTTGGGGTGGACTGCTTTCAGTTTGCCCTTCAGAAGGCCGGCGAGCAGATCGCCGAGGACGACTTCGAGCAGCTCGACCCTGGGGCTATCTGGGAGGCCTTGCCCAAGGTCCCTTCTAGCTTCCAGGGTGATCCTAGCCTACCATCCGAGCACGAGTGGTGGTCGGGGCTACTTGAAAGAACTCTGGCTCGATCAGATATCTTGAAGAAAACTTATGCTCTGCCCGATGGTCTAACTCCTCCAGCCTCGATGTTGGCCGTGCTGACTGAGTCTATTTGCCAACGTCCACTTAATGAAGCTTGCGACTCGACCACCGGGACTAGCCATCCGCCCGAGACAAACGCTAATCAGAGCAACGCAGACTCGACTGCCATCCCTCCTCCTTAGATTAGCTCCTTTTATTGTAC